CGCAGTCTTCCATCTATTACATTAGCAAAACACTAGTCGACGCCGAGATGAGATACCCTCACCTCAAAAAACTGGCTCTAGCCTTAGTCGTAGCTTCACGAAAGCTTAGACCATATTTCCAATGCCACCCCATCTCGATCGTCTCGACTTTCCCTCTAAGAAGCATTTTGCATAAACCCGAGCTATCGGGAAGGTTGGCCAAATGGGCCATCGAACTAAGCGAGCGCGATATCACATATCAACCGCGTACAATGATAAAGTCACAAGTCCTTGTAGACTTCGGCGCCGACTTCAGCACAAAAATAATGCCCGAAGTCAAAAAAGAAGCTGCCCACGCTTCTCCCCAAACAAAAGACCTCCGGGTCCTGTACACTTACGGCGCATCCAACACGTCAGGGTCCGGACTGGGACTCATACTCGAAGTCCATACCGGCGAAGTGATTCTCCAATCTATAAGGTTTCCGGACATGACTAACAATGAGGCAGAGTATGAGGCCGTAATTGCAGGGTTGAGACTAGCACTCAAATACGGGGCAAAAGGCTAAGACTACACTGTGATTCTCAACTCGTTGTCAACCAAGTCACGGGAACTTTCCAAATCAAGGAACAAAGGTTATAAAAGTACAAGACCAAAATCTGCAAGATGTTGCCCGAGTTCGACAAATACCAACTCGACCAAATCCCCCAAACACAGAATATTGAGGCAGACGACCTCGCCAAATTAGCCGCAGCCACCAAAAACATTGCAACCGGAGACAGAAGTGTAGTCCACCTTCTTAACTCATCAATAGACCTAATCGAGGTAAGAACCATCAACCTGACTTGGGATTGGCGCAACCATATTATCACATATTTGCAGGACGAAGTGCTCCTGGGTGATAAAAAGGAAGCCAAGAAACTGAGAATGTAAGAAGCCAGGTATAGCATCATCCATAACGACATGTATAAGAGAACGTACAGCGGCCCTCTGGCGAAATGCTTGGGCCCAAATCAAATGCGGCTCGTTCTTGAAGAGGTCCACTAAGTCCATTGCGGTGTCATTCCGGCAATCGGGCTTTGGCCAGATGTCTCATACGGGAAGGTTATTACTGTCCCACCATGAAAAAAGAGGCTACGGGATTCGTGAAAAAATACGAGCAATGCCAAAAGTATGCACCGATGATTCACCATACAGGCGAACACCTCCACTGAGTCACTTCCCCTTAGTCGTTCATCAAATGGGGAATGGACATCGTAAGCCCCCTCCCGGCAGGATGAGGTAACGTACGATTGTTTTTTTTTTATTGGTTTTGACTGCCTATTTCTCTAAATGGGTAGAAGCAGGATCATTCGCCCAAATATGTGAATAGGAAGTGATCGCTTTCATATGGAAAAACATTGTATGCCGATTCGGCCTCCCCAAAGAGATCAGCTACGACAACGGACCCCAATTTACAAGAAAGAAAGTCGCTGAATTTTTTGAAAAATGGCATGTCAAAAGAATACTCTCAACGCCATATCATCCCGCGGGCAACAGACAAGCGGAGTTCTCCAACAAGTCAATACTGAACATCATGAAGAAAAAACTTGAAAACGCAAAAAGGATGTGGCCGGTAATATTACCAAAAGTACTGTGGGCCTACTGAACAATGCCGAAGACAAGCACAGGAGAGACGCCTTACTCATTAGTCTATGGGACCGATACAATAATACCAGTTGAAGTTGGGGAGCCCAACCTAAGATACACTCACGAGAGCGGACCAGGGAACGATGAAAGCAGAAGGCAGGAGCTCGACGAAGCCGAAGAACGAAGAGATATGGCCTACATAAAACTGATCGCCCAAAAATAACAAGCAGAATGCTATTATAACAAAAAGGCAAAGGTTAGGCCACTCAAAGTCGGGGACTAAGTGCTTAATGCTAAAACACAAGCAAGCAAAGACCCACGGGAAGGTAAACTGGGAATAAATTGGGACGTCCCGTGCAAAATCATGGCAACAACGAACAAAGGGTCATTCTAACTAGAAACAATGGAAGGAAAGCTACTACCAAATAACTGGAATATTACCCATCTCAAGTACTTCAACTTTTAAGAGATAAAGCGTTCCCCAAGTCATACTCTTTTTCCATCACTTGAGTTTTGTCCCAATTGGGTTTTCTTAAGGAGGTTTTTAACGAGGCGATAAAGGGGATACTTCAGGTCGAAGTACGTGCGGACGGAGGCACAGGATGGCTAGTTCATTGCCCGACCTCTCAAGACTTCTCCAGGCTAACCAATAAAGGGACTAGATAAACTGAGACAGGATTGGAATGCCAGCCAATGCCCGAAAAAAGATGTAAATTTCTCTAAGTGTATGAACAAAGCACAAATGCATGAAGTTAATTTCTATTTCTCCGGATATACAACCAAGGCAACATCGCCTTAAAGTCCACAATATCGACAAATGCCGCACCTAGAGACATATCTAACTAAACAGAGGTTATATTCGACCTCGTTCGAATTAACACCTAAACTAGCCCCCGGCCATAACAACATAGGTTACCTTCGAGCTCGTTCGAATTAACACCTAACTGGCCCTCTGCCATAATTAAAAAGGTTATATTCGACCTCGTTCGAATTAACACCTAGCCCTCGACCATAATTAAAGAGGTTATATTCGACTCGTTCGAATTAACACCTAACTGGCCCTCGCCCATAATTAAAGAGGTTATATTCGACCTCGCTCGAATTAATACCTAAACTGGCCCCCGGCCATAACAACATAGGTTACATTCGACCTCGTTCGAATTAACACGTTCAAATTAACACCTAAACTGTCCCCCGGCCATAACAACATAGGTTACATTCGACCTCGTTTGAATTAATACCTAACTGGCCCTCGACCATAATTAAAGAGGTTATATTCGACCTTATTCGAATTAACACCTAACTGGCCCTCGGCCATAACCAAATAGAGGTTATACTCAACCTCGTTCGAGTTAACACCTAACATGATATTCACTGACAATTCTCATTCAATAAATAAAATTTAGCCCCAATCCCCGCCTTGTAATTACCTTCTAATTCTTTTTTAGTATTGTAGAAGCGAACTATACATTTAAAAGTATAGACACAGCAAATTTCAGAATTTTCTTAGTAGATTTCTTTTTTTTTTCGGGCCATGTTTTAAGAAATGAATCACCATGGGAACAAATAATGGTCAATTAATTTTTTGGCACTTTACAAACTTGTTTTTAGTTTTGTGACCCAACTGTATGAGTCAAAATCTACTATGGAACATTTAGTGTGAGGAAAAATCAGTCGAGGTCGATCAAAAAAATGGCGAAGCTCGTGGTCGGGATGCTTATAATGGTCGAGAACGAAGTCCGCAAAAAGAACCGTAGAATAGAATAATAGAGGAGATATTCTAAAGAATATTCTCTGCACATGTACCATTGGGGTTTAATAGGGATTTGTCCCATATAAAGGAGACAAAAGATAAGGACATGAGATATGTAATATTGATCTGATAACAATATTTTTCTAAGAAAGATTCTCTCTCTAGCAAAAATACAAACATTACCTTTTCATGAGGATTCTGGTTCATGTTATTCCATACTTTTTCGTTAGATTCGAGAATAGTTCGAACATTTTAAGATTTGTCTGTCATTCATCATTGTCAGGAGGAACAATCACATAGTCCATGAATCACTCATCCTATTTACTTAAATGTCATTTATTGCTAGTTACTCCTCCATTATTGCTCATACTTTATGAATAATTAGTGCATGTCATTATCAATCTCCTATTAGATCTGTCCTACATTATCCACATTTTCAGGGTCCGCATTTAGAGATATTATCGTTAACTAGGTTTAATCCATCATTTATATTTATAATAGTTTAACCGAAAATCATACTTTTGATCAAATACCTACCTCTATTTTTATACATGAGAGATTTACTTTTACACGTAAGAGATCTGTCTTTTACATATAAGAGATCTAAAAGGGTCATTTTCTTAAATTTAAAATTTTAAAAGGACATGATATACAACTGGCACAACAAATAATAGTACTATTAAAAGATAATTAATAATTGAATGCAACCATGTAATGTCTAGTATAGCTCATGTTATTCGACAATACTATAAATACAAAAGTTTCAAAGCTCCCTCTCAAATCAGGTGGACTCAGAATTTCAAATTAATTAAATGTGGATCAACATTCCACATGCTACGTACTCTTTTGTCATCACTGATGCGGAAGGACACAAATGCTTGGCAGAACATTGATAATTCTATTTAGTTAGTTTATGAAGTGAAATGAAAAGTGTTCATGACTTATTCATATTTAATATTGTTTGACACTAACGATAAAAAACTTATTCATGCCAATTTTACACCAAACCACATTAATAAAATATACTATTGTGGTTAAATAATAAATTGAAGTGCAAGATGTGTTAATTTGTCATTGTTAATTAAATAATAAATGTGAATGTATTGATACATATGCATCATTTTATTGAAAAGTCATAAATTTATATACTCGCTTTCAGTTCCTTCCAATCTCTCTGGTCGTGTGTTTGTTCTTTGCACCCTTTTTTTTGGGTAGAATTTTGTCATTGACGTGTATTAAAATGTCCTATAATATAAGCCCCCTCCCCTCATCTCTGTTCTTCACAAATGCGAAAAAACATTTTCTCAAACAAAGAAAGGCCCACCCTCAGTCGTGCACAAGCTATTCACCTCTCGCTGGACCTAATCCCAGAAAATAGCTACCTACTTCCTAATTTATTGGGGGAATGACTATGTATAACCGCTCTCAAAATATTAGTTCAAAAAAATATATTTTTTTTGTATATATACACATTCTGTATGTTATATACAAAAATTATATAAATTTTATATATTTTTTTGGCTACCAAATATAAATAATTTCTGATACGGGCTAAAAATAAAAAAAGTCCACTTTATTTCAGTTTACCATGTCTCTATAGTGAATTCACAAATTTATGACCGTCTGAGCTTCTCTCGCTTTCTTCCTTTCGTAGTTCCTCTCTCCCAAAGAGAATGATCTCGTTAAGAGCATGAGCCTCAAGCCCTCTAATGCTCAATCTCAACTCAACAATAATTTACACTAAGGTCCCGTTTGGCCATGAGTTTTGTCAAAAATAAATTTGAGATTTATTTGGCAAATACATGTTTGGTCATAGATTTTACCTACATTTTGGCAAAATCCCAAATTCTCAATCCCAAATCTCAAAATCACCTCAATTGCTGATTTTGGACCAAAACATGACCGTTATATTTTTTAAATTTTTTAAATATTACCCCAAATTTTTATAGTTTGTAAAAGAGCCCACATTTATTACGACCAACTAAACCATATCTGCTCACTTGCCTCTCATTAAACTCACGCGTTTGCTTTGCCCTCTATAAACAGAAGAGAACTCCACCGCAAATTCTCCGTGCCAATCGATTGCAATCCACAACAAAGACGAAATTTGAAGGTAATTTGGTAAAATCTGCTAATACTTGTTTAAATTTTCTGCAGATTTGTATGAATTTTCTTCGGATTTGTTTCACTAGTTCTGTATGAATTTTTTTCAGATTTGTTTTGCTTGATTTGTATGAGTTTTTCTTCAGATTTGTAAACCCTCCTATGTATATGAGGTCTCTCATCTCCTACATTGACTAATCTTTGCTTGTGATGACGATAAATGGCTATTTCTCTTTATTTCTTTTTTTTTTTCCGGTTGTGTTTGATTGAAACTGTGGTCTTGTGTTGGTCGGAAAAGTTACTCTTTTCAGCCCAGATGTTTATGTGGTTATGCAATTTGGATATTGGGAAGCAGACGCAACTCAAAAAAATAATTTCTTTCCCTTTTATATAGCATCTTTATGCTTTATTTTTTTTGTATCATTCGGCTGATGCAGCTAATGTTTTGGCCTTGCTTTTAAAGTTTTGTAATGCCCATAATACCTGAAGCTAGTTTTGAGATTTCCGATGAGAATTTTGTGGCTCTGCCTCTACCGGTTAATAGGATAACATACTTTAAATTTTAATCCTTCTGCTTGTATTAGTATGCCTTCCATATAGTTTAAGGTATGCTTTTGGATTTTATGCACTCTAAGAAAATGAAGTTAGGCATGTGATATGTTGCCCTATTATTATTGTATTGTAGAAACGTAAAAGAATGAATAGACCACGTGGTTCAACTGATAAATCACGTGGTGCTTCTGCTGATAAATAGACAGATGATGAAACGTCGATCATCGTAAATATCCTATATGATGATGCGAGGAAGCACGTGTTTAATGGTTCTACCATCAGTGGTCCCTGACATTTGGGCAAATCATGTGAAGGTAAGTTTGGGAGATTGAAAAAGTTACATAGGTTCTACCTTTATGCATATTGAACTAACATTCTGTTTCAAAAACAATTTACAGCAAAAGAAAGAAGAAGAATAATATATATATTTCCAAGCACAGATACCAAACTACTTTATACAAAAGTACTATAAATTACAGCTTTTATAACAAACTACTTTAAAGTATTGCAACATATTGTAGTCTAAGAGAAAAGTTGCTTGAATCCATATATAAGATAGTAATGTCATAAAAACGGGACAAACGAAAAATTTGCTATCCAATAAATTACTTCCGGTAAAAGTTTTAACAAGGAAATAAATAAGGCAACGTTCGGAAGGAAACACATTATGTTTGTTTGGTGGTATTTACAAAACCTTATGGTATGCGATTAGAGTACTAGGGTGTATGATGTAATAGTTCGTACATTTTTAAGCTTAATCAGGACAACTAACTAATTTTTATTAATCCGTTAATTATTGATCAGTTAATTTTGGAAAACAATATACTGACTGACAAAGAAAAAGATAAACACCAGTATCTCACAGATGTTATAATAAATTTCTATTAATCTGTTTACGGATAAACTCATATATATGACATAAAATTAAGAAAAGGAATAAAATATTGTTTGACAAATGAAATTAATGGATAAACGCAATATCTCACCCACAAAAAAAATGCAATATTGTTTAACTCTTTTTGAATATTTTAGTTACAAATATTTATGTTTTGCATTTTATGGATTTGATTAGTTGCAATGGTAGATTGACTGGTTGAAATGGCGGATTGATTGGTTGACATTGTGGAATAATTGGTTCGCATGGTAGATTAATTGGTTAGTTGCTGTATATTTGAATTGGCAGCCGGTGGTGCTTTAAAAGAGCTGGAATCTATCAAAAAATTTCTACGAACATTTGCGACTGCTGTAGTGGAAAAATTAAATTAAAAAAAATATTAAATTAGATTTGCAACCACAGTAGTCGGAATATAAATAAATAAATAATTTTAAATTAGTTTTGCGACCACAGTAGTGGAAAAACTCAAATAAAATAAAAATACTTTATATTATTTGCGACCACTCCAGTGAGAAAGATTAAATAAAATTATAATTATGTATACCGTTTGCGACTGAAGTAGTGGGAAAGTTAATATAAAATTAAAATTTAATTTAAATTATTTGCGACCACGTCAGTCGGACAATTGACCACATTTATTAGTCTTTTTTCTATTTTGACTTTCCGATCGCTGTAGTCGCAAATTACGGACGGATTCGGTCGCAAACTATTTCAGACCAACTATTTTGCGACTACGACTTTTCGGTCTGAATATAGTCGGAAATTAGCATTTTCTGATCACTTTCCGGCTGTATTTGCAGTCAAAAAATAGTCATTTTCTAGTAGTTTAATCTAAGGGGCCATTAAAACACATATGTACAACATTAAGAGGAACAATTAATAAAATAGGAAAATTTATTTGTAGAAAAAGAATAAAAGGCAACATCTGAATAATTCTAGCTAAATAAAGAAAACACAATCTACCTAGCTACTAATTAATCAAAAGGCTAGTGCTTGATAAAAATGTCTAGCCACTAAAACGAAAGAATAAAGACTAGAGTAGAAGCTACGACTGCTGACAATCTAATAATAATTATGCTAATGAAGCGAAAGCTGCCATAACAAGAAGCATTGAGAATGAAGCTGATGTTAGATTAATGGTGGATCCACTGGACTCTGCATTAGGAGCTTCAACTGGAGCTTGATCTGCCTCAGCTGGTGCTGGCGATTTTGAAATTGGACCTGCAGCTGCAGCTGGCTGTGGAGTTGGAGGATTAACAATTGATGCTGGAGGATTAGCTGTCGTTGGAGGATTAACTGATGAAATTAAAAAAGAAAGATAATGAGAACAAATTAAAATGAAAAAACTAAACAATGGTTTTCTTTTTTAGACATGGTTAAAACCCGTTATCACTTAGAGAAAAAGAATAGACGCGTAGGAAATTCCTTTTTTAAATTTAATGGAGTATATATGATTTTTTTTTTTACATAATTCACTGGCCCGACTAATTTAGATTTACACTGTACAAGCCGATTTAAGAGGGAAATGCTCCCTAACAAGCATTTTTCTATTCCCAGAGCTCAAATAATTAAAGATGTAGAGATTGCATTCATCGATCCCAAAAACAGTCAAAATTCCCTTTCATTAATTAAGTTCATAACGAGTATATGTTTACCTTCTCTTTACTTAAAGGGGCCTAATAGATATGTCTATATATATCTAACATTCATGGAAGAGACAACATAAAAACAATGTTTAACAGAGAAGGGGAAAAAAGGGGTATAAAATAGATCAGCTTAAAAGGTATTAAGCATATAAATAATTACGTAAATAAACAAAGGAAAGGACAAGTAAGATCAGTGTCAATTTTCTAAAAATAGAGTTGGTCCAATAAAAGACAAAGCAAAAATATATGTTAAACAATATTGATCCCATAATCGAGTTTAGAGACAAAAAAAAACCATGACTCTAAATTCTTTGATAGTACTGCTATGAATAGTTAATGCTAACCCCCACAATTAATAGATTACTATATTAATTAATGATACAATAAGAATGTTGTCAAGATCAATCTAGTGACTGTGACCCACCCCACCCAGTAAAAAATACAGAAGAAACAAAAATTTAAACGAGGATAAATAAGTAAGGGATCAAAAACATACCAGGAGAAGCACTAGGAGTGGTGGTACCTGCATGCAAAGAGGAAAAATGGACCATTGGAAAAGAGTCAAATACATAAATCTTCACTCTCATATGTAAAATTCTCGAGAAAAAAAAAACTCTCACAATGTTACTACTTTATTTTCTTTTCCTCAATATCCTGAATGATAGATCTAATTTATCTAGTTTTTAATATTAGTTATATATTTAAAATTACATGCAAATTAAAAAAAAAAAATGGGCACCTAGGTCAAATAATAAAGCAACAACAAAATGAAGTAAACTATCGAAGGACTCACTGTTACAATTGGTGAGTGGAGGAGCGGAAACGCTACAGTCAGAAGGCAAAACGGCAGCTTGAGTCATATTAACAGTGATGCCAAAACTAGAACTCGTGGCTAAAGCAACACAAATACAATCAGGATCCGTATTCAAAACCTGTTTTTGTTGTAGAGGCAAACATATTAAAAAATTAGTACTACTCCATAACATTGCACGAAACTATTCATCTGTAATATAAAAACCTGTTTAAACCCTGAACAGCAAGAAACATCTGGCTTAGTGTCATTGCTATCAGCCTCCAAAAATTTCAGACAAGGGATCATGTCCATCACAATGGTTGAGCAATCCGCCGTTGGTCCCGGAGAAGGTGAAGAAGGCGACGGAGATGGAGCTTTAATTGGTGACTGTATTGGTGGTGCACTGCCATGGCCAGCGTTTACGGCCACCACAGCCCATGTGGCCAAAATGCACGTCACAACCGGAAAGATATTCATAAATAATGAAGGGAGTGTAAATGTGTTTTTCTTGAATGAATGGAGTGTAAATGTGATGGAAATGGTTAGAATGAAGGATCTAGAGTTGTCAAAGTTTACTTTATATGCCTAATTAAGAGGGATTGGTTTAAATTAGATTTGTTTGAATAAGTTGATAAGAATCCTAAATGATCGCAAACAGATAAACACGATCTTTGACTAGGTAAGATTTTACCCAATAGAGTTCTATCTTACATGTTCTATATAGCGATATATTAGGGCTTAATGAGCTTAAAATAAAAATAGAGTTATAGTTAAACAAATCAAAAGAATTTGCTGACCAAAAGAATCGAACTTCTTGTATAAGCTATCTTAGATGTTCACATTTTTTAATTTATACTGTTAGCCGATACTTCCCAAACAATAATATGATTCCCAAACAATAATATGATTGATTGAATGATTACTCCGAATTTGATTTGTTTTATTTCCTATTTTTCTTTATAATATCCATTTTTTTAAAAGATATATTTTTCACGTGCTTTGCAAGATAAAAGTTATTAAAGCACTAAACTATTTCCCTCACCTTTTTATTTTGTAAGTAGAAGTCCGTATAAACTACAGTTTTATGTGTCAAGGAAACCAATAATTTAGGTTTCACGTTCTACCATACCGTACGAATACATACTTGCATCATGGATTTTATTTACTTGAGTTTTAAGATACGATTATCACTATCATATAATTGTTATCAGACAAAAGCTATTAGAATCATTATTGTGATTCAAACACTTTGTCACGATGGGCGTTAGGAATACCATTATATATTTGTAATTCCCCATATATTATAGAGTTACATTTAGACCGTTTCTTATTCGACATCTGGATCATTCTCCTTTTCATCTCACTCATACATTTGGAGATATCATGTTCTTTCTAATTAAAATGTTTAGCAGCCTAAATGATGCGGAGATTGAAATGAACTAGTGAAATGTGAAATCTTGTATAAACAATCCAAGTAACTCCTTACCTAGTGGTCCAGCGATAGAGTCTCATAATACCATAAACAATTCATTTGTCAAGATTATAGCAAAACTGGTCCAAAACATGAGTTCATTACTTAAATGGTCACTTAATTATTCAAAATTATCTAGTAAAGTCATCTTTCTTTCGTTTGTAACAAAAAAGTCACCTAATTATGCGTATAGCACTCAGAAAGTCACTCAACTAGATTTCTCAAACTTTTGATTGTCAAATAACTATTTTATCCTCTAAATTATCATTTTTTATCTTTTTTTACTTTTAAAATATAATTTTTTTCTCTTTTCAATCTACATTATGGACTTACCTATAGAAAAAGTATATTTTATTTATAAAATAAAAATAAAAAACATATAAGTTTTCTAGCTTATATAATGTTGGAATAATAATATAAATGGGTATAATTTTCAATAATATATAATGTATATTATAAAATACCTTTATTTTGAACAATTATTTTTTATATTGCGTGCATGAAATATAAATTTTACAACTTTTATTTTCTTTCATTCTCAATTGTTAAATGAATTTTTGAATTTTGTTATTAATATTAAAATTATTATTATGAACAAATTGTTCTAATTGTTTTTTTACTATGCTTAATATTTTATTATTCCAATAATATATATATATATATATATATATATATGCTTAAATATTATTTTTATTTTTTAATTTATAAATAAAATTAATTTTTTCTATAGGTAAGTCCATAATATAAATTAAAAAATATATAATATTAAAAATTTAATAAAAAATAAAAGAAGACAAAAGGTTTATAATTTAAAGGGTAATATAGGTATTGGGCAATTAAAAGTTTGAGAAATTAGTTGAGTGTCCTTCTGAGTGCTATAGGCATAGTTAAGTGACTTGATGTTGCAAACGAAAGAAAGATGACTTTAACATGTAAGTTCGGATAGTTGAGTAATCATTTGAGTAATGGACTATCGAAAATATTAGAGCAAAATTTGCATTGAATACTATAATTGGCTGAGGAAAAAAAAAAGAACCTTCTACTTTTTATAATTAAATGCAGATTATCTTATATTTTTAAATATTTTTACTTAACAATTTCTCTCGCTTATTGTTAGATAACATAGATAAATAACAATATAAAATTTAATGGATAATTCTAAAAACTAGAAAGTTCCACGTACTATTTACTTTAGTAAAGTGTCCAAAAAAATTAAAAGCACTTAATTCTTTGGAGAAGCTACTCTTTTTAGCTTATACTTAAAAGCTAAAAAATATCTTTATGTGCTTCGAAAGTTAAAGAATATTAGAAGAACGAAACTATCTCATTTTTTCTGTAAGTAGAAGCACGACAAGTTTGCATGTCGAGGAACCAACAAATTAAATTTTAGGTTTTATATCAGAACTGTTTTCAATACAAAAGTTTGGTTTATATCTTTTTATCCTTTTTTTTAAGACAAAACTTTTGACAAGAAAATACCGCTCCTGGGCGTCTTGTTAAATGGTGAAGTATTCCAAAGATACACAGATTGACCAGGTAAAAATGGCGTGGGGTAGTCATTTTTCATCATTGAAAACTAGTCGGCGTTTATAAAATAGTTAAAAAATTGCTATTTTTAGTGCAGGAATAAAACTTAGACAATTATCCTTAGCTAAAACACGATTGTAGTTTTTACAAGTAAAATTCCAACATATTATGCTGGAGTTCATGGAAGAAATGCTGAAATTTTGAAAAAAAATCAACTTATTTCTTTTTTAGGGATGTATATTCATGTATCTGCCTAAAGTCTTAAAAGAAAAAAAGTTTTAAAATATAAATGAGTGCATGAGTTGAGAAATTGGTAATAATAAGCAGTGAATGAATCAATGATTGTCGACTACTTCCATGTATTAACCATAGAAATCCTTCTCATGTCACTGTCTTTCTATGAATTGGAAGTGCTAAATCCACGGACTACATCTTCAAATGTTGACCCTTTAAAACCCAGTAGCATTAGCAGTAAAAGAAAAGGAATTCATGGTACTGTAGTTAAAATATGGGATACTCTAGCATAATATATTGAAATTTGGCTTGTAAAAATTCAAACTCCAGTATATTATGTCAGAATTTCAAATATAATGAAATTTAAGCGTTTGTAGCCTTTTTTCGTGTTTGCTCAGTGTATAAATATTAGAGTTATTTTTATTGTGAGTTTTATTGGACCGTTGTGGAGTGTAAAATTCCTTTCCTTTTATCTATAGTTAGAGAAGAATAAGAGAGGCTCAATTAGGTAACAGTGGACGTACGGGCTATTGAGAATTGATCTTTTGACGCGAACCAAAATTAAAGGACATTTTCTTTTATATATTAGCTTATCGATATTGTTAAGTGTGACATTTGTGACTGGAGATTAGTTGCGATTAGTTGTTTGGGCGCTTTTTACAATGTGCATATAATTCAGTTGATTAATATTTTCAAGCAAATTAAATCACAGTTTCGATTATAAATTGAGAAATACCCTACCAAGCGTGACAAGTACATTGTGCTACCTACCAGATTGAAATAGAACAGGCGTTCCAAACTATTAATAAAAACGATTATTATACCATCAATCATGTTGTAAGCCTGATCTTAAGAAAGTAAATTAAGCAATTCACTAACTCCAATAACTCCATCTTTTATTAAAAAAATAAAAGAACGAAAAATTGTTCTTATATCAGTTTTAAGCAATAGTTATGAGTTGGTCTCTCAAATCATTAAAAAGAAGAATTAGCAAAGGCAGGCTGGACAAATTTGTGCTATATATTGAAATTAATCAACTCTAATTACGCTTCTTTTGAAACTTAAATGCTTGGTATTTCTTTTTGTTTTAAATGTTCCATATTTTCTCTGGAGCCACTGAACTGTTTAGGTGCTCATAATGTTTAAATCACTCTTCCCATTTAAATAAAAAAAAAAAGTAAGTAAATGAAATATATTTAGTCTATTACATATTTTGGGAAAGTTTCTAAATAGGGTAATGTTTTGTTCGTCATAGATGATTGGATAAACGTGTGAGTCCCCTATTGTGTGGGTCAAAATTAATACACGGCCCACTGTTTTGGCCGCACCTATGTAGGCCCTATAGTCATCAGCAGTGTATCAGGAGTTTGAAAAATGACACTGTATAGCCCCTGTAAAAATAATAGCCAACAAAATATATAAAATTCATATATATATACATTATGTATGTTATATACAAAAATTATACAAAATTTATATATTTTTTTGGCTACCAGATATAAATAGTTTTTAATACGGGCTAAAAATGATAATACCCCGTCAGGAGTTAGGGCCATATATGGGCCCATATCAATTAGTGTTCTATATATGTTGTATGGCAATTGTCGGAAAACCCTTTGAATTATTTTTCAACTTTCAACGACTCCATTATTTATTGTTTATATTTTATTTGTTACAAGTTCATTTTCAAATGAAGATTTGGAATAATATCACACATCGAAGAATTGCTCTTCTGATAACTACTTTAGGTGATTTAATGTAATACACGAAAACCTTTCATAACATAATATTCATTCATTTCTTTCGTCCCGTGATAACCTATGTAAGTTGTGGTGACAGAGTGTTGCTTGTACTATGTAATATTTTTGGCCTATAGTTTAGCTGATAAGACCAACACAACCATGTAGTTAAGGTTATAAGAAAGGAAAAAAAGACCAAACACACATTAATTTTAATAAGTTATATATTTATGCTAAACTAACCCTTATATCCATATACTCGTTAAAATATGCTGAGAAGTAACACAAATGTCAATTGTAATAAGAAAAGGCCACACCTTTTTGAGAGAAGATACATGGAGTATTGTTTATATTTTTGTTGGCCGAAGTTCAAAAGTCACACCTAACTCCACAAAAGCTTGGTCCCCCAATAAGTGGACTACTCCAAACCCTAATATCAGATGTGTGTAATGATTGGGCTTGTATGTAAATAGCAATTCTATCAACTTAGCTACCTATAAAGGACGGGGCAACCATGGTACTTCTCGATCTTGTCTTCTAGCGCAGTTGAACTAGTGATTCATGAATACTTTCTGGTTAGACGAGCCAATAATTTAAAGGCGTTTGGTCAGTTTTGTGAGCAAGAATCGCAACACCATGATACAGATTCCAAGTTCTTATGGAAGAGCATGAGAAAATTTATATCAAGAGAGATTTTTTTTCATCTTCTTATAATTTATAATTAGGGAACAATTAGTTGGTTCCCATCAGTCAAGATAGAAAAACTTTATAATATACAAGCTCAAAATCTCGAACCTACGTTCTTAATTAGTCGAGAATATAGTATATCTTAAGAGTCTAA